TTGCCAGTGATTCAGAAATAGGACTGAACAACATGTTTAGACTTTGCCCTGTTTAATTGAGGAAAGGAAGGAAGGAAGGAGGGAGGGAGAGAGAGAAAGAGGGAGGGAAAGAAGAAAGAAAGGCAGTAGGAACAAACAAACACCCAACACCCTACCACCATCCCATAAAAAACAACAGAACCAAAGCAGGCCATTTGGTTTCCAGGCAAAAAAAAAAAAAAAAAAAAAAAAGAAACTGCAAAATAAACTTGATTTTCCAAAGATGCTTGCCTATTTTGCGCTTTCTTCGTAGAATCACAAGGATCCAACTACCTTGCTGGACATATATGTGAACTCTTCTAAGGAAACACATAGCCTTGAGAAGCGTTTAATCTGCTCAAAATTCAGAATTAAGAACAATGGTAATAATCTATTTTTCTAATGAAAAGTTACATCTTACAAAATAATATTCCAAGCCCTTTACACAAGCAAAATACAAACAGACACTTTGTACAAGCAAAATACAGAGTGCCAACACCTTGGAGAAAGAAACCACAGGCTAATCTTTAAACACAACACAGATCTATCAATGCGCTGGTCACACTAACTGGTGCTAAACATGTTTTCCTGTGAATAAATGTTGAGTAGCTTACACTAAATAGCAAATCTTTTTCACCATACCTTTAAGTGCCTGATATAAAGATGGTTAAGCATCTGTTGATATTCTAAACCAGTAATTGAGGGGAAAAGAACTAAGGTACTGGGTATCTACTATGTGCCATACACCATGGTTACACGTTCCCTATGAGGAAAACACTGCCATATCCGCTTCACAGCTAATAAACTGAGATACAAAAAGATGCAATGGTTTTTCCCAGGGTTACCCAGCTTGAAGATGATAAAGGTTTTATCTAAACCAACCTGACTTTAAAACTTTTCCAATTGTATCACATTTCTTTCCAACCAGAAATTCAGAAAGACAAGTTAGTAGAACCATAAATTTTAGTTCCCCGACATACAATATCTAATATAGAGTATATGTTTACTTTGCCAGCACCTCAAAGAAAAGTTCCTCTTCTTTCATCTGTCTTATAGTAACAGATGTCAAACTCTTCTGCAATATTTTCAGTATGACTGAATTCCAGCTACTAAAAAGTGATAAGTGAATAGAGAGAAAATTACCTGTCATCATCACAAGCCTTTTAATCTTAATATCCTAATGAGCACAATTTGAGAATCACTGATCCAAAAGGGATCAATCAGTTCATTCTTTAAAAATGGGAAATACATAGAAATATCTCAGCAAATACAGAGGTGCTTCTCCACAGAGTACATTTGGTCCTTTTGCTTAAAATTAAAAGACAGATTATGTGTGATCTTGCCCTCAAAAGTTTACTGCTCACTGCTCTCTTCCCTCTACCAGTCAAAGAATAAAGATCTCAAAGGAAATATCCTCCCTTAATATAATAATATACTAAAATTTATATAATAAATATGAATAATAATTTTTATAATAAGTTCTCAAGTTGTTCTTTCCCATTTCATAACCCCTACCCTCTTTTTCTTACTTAAAGCTTGACAAGGGGCTGGATGCAGTGACTCACACCTGTAGTCCCAGCACTTCAGGAGGCCTAAGGGGGCTGATCATTTCAGCTCAGGAGTTCAAGACCAGCCTGGGCAACATGGGAAAACCCTGTCTCTACAAAAAATACAAAAATTAGTCAGGTGTGGTAGTCTGTGCCTGTTGTCCCAGCTACTCAGGAGGCTGAGGTGGGAGGATCACTTGAGCCAAGGAGGCTACAGTGAGCCTCCTTGGAAGCTACAGTGAGCCATGACTGCACCACTGCACTCCAGCCTAGGTGACAGAGTAAGACCCTATCTCAAAAAATAAAAATAAAAATCTACCAACCT